CCTTGAAGAATGCAGGGTCATCTCCTCACCGTGATGAAAGATCAAAGGAAGACCTTGGGGAAAATTTCTGTTCTTTGTTCTTCCCAAATGTAGAGTAAGGCAGTTGCTAGATGAACATTTTGGATTTTTCCCGTTCTCCATTCTTTGCATTGCTGCTCCCTTAAGCCTTTGGTAGTGATGTTTTTGGCCTTTTCCTTTGGCAGTGGTAAAGTAAGATATTGTTTGCTTTTCAGTTAAATGGAGTAAGGGATGTGTTCAACAATGCCACTTCTTGGGGATAACCTCATGGTGTGGTGTACAGCCCTGTTGGAGGGTTGGGTAGTTGAATGGGGGCTGCCACAAGAGAAGCCAGTCCATAGTCTCCTAGCTCAAATACTGATGATTTTTTGAATTTCCATAGATTTTTTTTTGTTGTTTTTTTCCCAAGCAGTTTAACAAGCATTGTGTCCTCAAACAAGTCAGGGAAGTCAAGCCAGGAAAGAGAAGATTTGGTTTGAATGGCACTTTTGATTCTATTTTAACCAGTGCTGTCTTATTTCTCAGAATTGTTATCTATATCATTTAGCCACAAGGTAATATCCTGCCAGTTGGGGGAAGATAAGGACTGGTTAGAAAGTTTGAGGAAGATGGCAGGTCAACCCTTTTGATGAAAGAGGTGTCTTTGCGTTGAGCAAGCAGCAAGGTTGGAACATACTGTCCTTTGAAAACAATGCATTTGGCTAATGTGTTTAGGGCATGGGGCGTCCAGACTTGTGATTTTATAGTCAGAGTTTTTCCTGTGACGTTTAGAGGTTCATGGCCACATAACTGATGTGTGTCAAAGACAGAACTTGAACCCAGCTTTTCCTAATTCTGAGATCAGCTCTCTATCATTCAATGTTTCTTTTAAATAGTTTTTCATTACAGCCAATTTTTTTTTGTCTAAATCATGGAATTTGTGCCTGTCTAGTTAATAAGTACCCAGAGAAAAGATAACCTTGGGGCAGCTGGCATGAAGAGGACTTAATCAGAGAGTAGCTACAGTTTAAACTTCAGGAAGAACAAGATAAAATCAAAGGGTATTTATTATATTATGTAGGCTACAAACTGTGGACATGTGGAATTTGGATTCAAGAGCCAGAAGGGACTTTAGGGCCAAACGGTCCAAGTTTTACATTTTATAGAAGAGGAAACTGAGGCTTGAGAGGTGATACCACTAGTTACCTAGGTTATACTACTAGTGGCAGCAGAGAGATTAGAATTCATTCCTCCTCCTCCCCAAGTATGGTGTTTAAGCTTTATCGTTGTCCCCTCTAGGCTATACTAGACATTAAATGGGAAAATGAGATTGCAGTAGCATGGTCATAGAAAGCAGCCACTGTACAGGAATAAAGGTTATGTTTTCTTTAACTAGTACCTTTCTGCTGTTGATTATCTCCAAGTTAACCAGTATATAACTTGTTTGTTCATGGTTGTTTGTATGTTGTCTCTCCCATTAGACTGTGAGCTCCTTAAGGGCAGGGAATAGGTTTTTTTTGGTCTGTGTATTTTTTCCCCTTTCTTTACATCTCCAGTGCTTAGCATGGTGTTTGACACGTAGTAGGTAGTTAGTAAATGCGTATTGACTGACTGGGAAGAACACAAACAGAAGATAGAGAATGATTGGGGTATCAAATATCTCTCAAATAAGCTAGAGTATAGAGCTCAAAGGGGCCTCGCCTTTATTTCAAACCCTTGTTTGATATCCAGCCAACAACATCTCTTGACAGATGGTAAAATCCATCTTCTTCTTGAATATTGTCTAGCAAGAAGGACCATGTTACTTTTCAGGGCAACCTATTCCATTGTTGGACAGCTCCAATTGTTTGCTTGTATTTTCCATGAGGCAAAATCTGCTGTCTAGTCATTGCTACCCATATAATTCTGCCTTCTGGGGCAAAAATAACACAACATTCAAGCAGGTGTCTACAGAATCACCTTTTAAATATTAAAAGACAGTTTCATGTCTTCTCCCTAAATCTTCTGTCCTCTACCCTCAATTCCTTCAACTGTTCCTCAGTTCTTTATATGACATGGTTTCCAGACCTGTCATCATTCTGGTCACCATCCTTTGAATGGACTGTAGTTTCCCAACAGGCATAGGGACAGGGGTTGGACCTCTGATTGCATTGGCACAGGGAATTCCCAGTGAGGAAACTCATTTTACCTTTGCAGGTCAGCATCTTCTCTGCAATGAGATTGTCTGACAGAGTTGCCAGGGGGCACTGAACAGTGATAAGGCTGACCCACAGTAAAGCAGTCTGTTATGTGTCATAGATAGGACTTGAACCCAAATGGTCATGGTTTTCTATCCTTTCCCTACACTGCTTCTCAGCTTCTCCATGTCCCTATTATAGTACAGTTCACAAATCTATAGAGATAATCCTTGATCTTGACTTTATATTTCTATTTATGCAACCTAAGGTTCCATTAGCTTTTATAGCAGCCAAATCATAACTGTTCACTCATTTTAAGGTTTTAATCAACTCAACTCCCATATTTTCCACACGAAATTCTGTCAGGTCTGTTCTCCTCCATCTCTGACTTTTGAAAGTGATTTTTTTTTTCATTCTAAATGCAAGACTTTGAATTCATACCTGTTAGACTTGCTCTTCGGGGACCATAAGCTCAAAGGATCACAGATCTAGAGAGTGAATGAATCTCCGATGTCATTTAGTCCAACACTATCATTTAACAAATGAGGAAAATGAGGCCCAGGAAGGTTGTGATTTGCTTAAGATTACATAAGTAGTAAGCATCAGTAGTGTGATCTTTTAGTTTATGTCCACAGTATCAGATTTTTAACATTTTTGTCTCTGGTACCCATTTTATCAGCTACCTGCTCCAAACTTTTATGGCCAGATTATTGACTAAAAACATGATGGAGTACTGCATCCAGCCACAAGATATCTATCTCTCTCCATGTGGACATTGCCCCATTAAGTAACACTCATAATGTTGCCCCGAAGCCAACTTAACATGTCTCCTTGCATTGCCATACTGGACTCAGGGTATGCAGGAGGCCTTGAACAAGTTGGACTTGTGGGGTTTTTTTTGTTCACAGTAGGTAGGGTTATTCAACAAAATACCAGTCTATTTAACTTTACTTTTTTCTCTCCTCTCCACAAATATATCATAATAAATTTTATAAAATGTCTTAACGAAATGTACTCTTTCATCCACCAATATAGAAGTTGTTGCTGTTGAGTTGTTTCCATCTTGTCTGACTCTTTGTGACCCCATTTGGGGTTTTCTTGGCCAAGATACTGGAGCTGTTTGGCATTTCCTTCTCTGGCTCATCTTACAGATGAGGACACCAAAGCAAACAGGGTTAAGTGACTTGCCCAGGGTCACATAGGTAGTATGTGCCTGAGGCTGGATTTGAATGCATAAAGATGAGTCTTCCTAATTCCAAGCCCAGTGCTCTATCCGCTGTACTACCTAGCTCCCACCATTCTAGTAACACTGATCAATAAAGGAAATGAGATTAATTCATCATCATCTGTTCTTGGTGAACCTATGCTGTTTCCTAGCAAGCACACTTTATTTTATCTGTGCTTACAAACCACTCATTTAAGATTCACTTCTAAAATTTTGCCGGGAATCAGAATCGATCTTCATTGATGTCTAGTTTTGATATCTATTTCTCCCCTCTTTTGAAAATCAGAACATCTGTCCAGCTTGAGTCTTCCAATCCTTTTCCATCCTTCATGATTTCCCAAAGATCTTTAATCACATTGGCAAGTCCTTTCAGCACTCTGGACATATTGTTTTGGTTTGGGGACTTGATTTCATTTAAAATATCTAGGTCATTTCTACCTTCTCAGCTACTTTGGATTCAAATCAAAGTCTCTTTTTGATTCCCTCTTACCCGTGTTTCTTCTACTTTTTCCAATCTGAAGATAATTATGGATAAAGAAAGCAGAAACAAAATGGAAACCCTTTCCCTCCTTCATTTATTCATATTTACTCTAAGCTATTCCTTCTGTGTTATTATCCATCTGATCATCTGAATGCATGTTCATCTTTGTTATAAGATCGTGGGACCAGACCTATAACTGACCACAGGCCCTATCTAGGCTAATCCCCTCATTTAACAGACAAGGTAACTGAAGCCCAGGGGAGATTAAATCACTTGCTCAGACCCATGGGTAGTGAGAGTAGGGCAGGACTGGGAGAGCTGAGGGCCTCTTGACTTGAGACTCATTGTCCTTTCCACTGTACAACATTGCCCACAACTGCTCTGTCACTCAAAACCTTCTAGGAAGATGAACGATTATTATTTCTCAGTAACTCATCTCTATAAATAGGTGGTAAGTAGTCTAAGACACAGGATGACACATGTCAAAGAGAAACAGAATAGATGAAATCCTTCCAGTAACATGCAGTGTTGAGTCTGGAGGGGTGGTTTGAATTTTAAATTTGTTCTTTGGATTTCTTTGACATTTTCCCACTTTGAAATTTTGACCACTTTGATCTGTAGGGAGACTTTAGTGGTGAAAAGCTCCCAGAGCAAGATTTCCTTGAGGGGGGAGAGGGGTTGGAATGTTTCCGAATACTGAAAGTTAATCAACTAGAGATGGAATTGAAACTCTTCTTACTGAAAGTAGGGCAAGAAGAGAGAGTATTCCAGATTGAAGCCTGGATTGGATTCTCCACCAGTTTGCAAGACAGACTTCAGGAACTGAAGATAGTGTAGCTTCTAGAGCCCTGGGGGCTAATAATCCCAGAACATCAAACCCAGCAGGCACCTGTGGACCGTGAATATCAGTCACTGGCATCACCTTTGTCTTCTCTTAAGTGTGCTCCTTCTCCCTAGTTTTCTGGATCACAGAACCATTGGCAAGTTTTTGAAAGACTGTCATAAATCAGACTTGTTCTTTTTGATCCCAGGAGCAAGGAATGGAGGTTACAAAGAGGCCAAGTTTGCTTTGACTTAAGGAAAACTTCCTACCAATTCGAGGAATCCAGAAGTGCATGGGATACCTTCAGAGTTAGTGGATGCCTCCTCATTGAAGATCTTCACATAAAGACAAGATGATATCTTATTAGGTACGTGGCAGAGGACGTTCGTGTTCGGTTGCACTAGATGGCTGAAGACCCTTCCAACTCGGAATTTCTGGGATTCAAGTCCAACCTTTTATGGTTATAAGGGACACTCAGATGACATAAACTTAGGTGACTGGTTTACTGACTGGAAGCAAAAGGCTTTCCTCAATCACAAATTGAACCCAAGTGTCGGGGCTGCTATTTTTGTCAGAGAACATAGAAACTGAATCCTCTTGTAAGGGAGGAAGTTGTCAAGGGAGGGTTGCTAAAAGTTCATGCTAAATCTGCTTAGAAGCAGATTGCATTCATTAATATTTATACGTCTGTGGTTGGGACAGGGAGAGGAGGCTTCTTTAAAACATGGAGGGTACTCATCTTCTAACTGTCTATCACCTACCATTCTGATAATGGGAGGTGGGTTTTAATTATACAATCAATGGGGATCCAGATGGAAGCCATCTGGTGCCTCCCCCCTCCCTTGCTGCCAAAATCTTATCTTGCCTCTCAGTGTCAGTGATGTAGGGAAGAATTTTAATCATTATCTCAAACTGTAATTTGCATTTTGTCATGGCTCCTTGGCAAGAATTGATGGGGTTAAGAAGGAGAGGAAAGAGAGGGGGAAAGAATAGATGGGTTTTATGCTGTTTTACAAATAATCCTTTTAAGGTGGGATTATAGTCCTATAGCTGATTGGGACCTCAGAAGTCATCCAGTATAACCTTCTCATTTTATAAATAAGGAAATTGAGGTCCAGGGAGGCTAAGTGAAATGAAGGTGGGAGCTTTATCTGGTAAAGGCCTCAAAAACCAAGTGTTTCTTTTCCTTTTGTTCCACACAAGCCCTGATTCATATGAAATGCTCAGATCAAAAATGTGCTTGTTAGATAATAGTCAGTAAATGTTGAGTTTACTGGATTTTAGATGACCCAAATATAAGAGAAGGAAGCTTTTAAAAAATCAATACTGTGTTCAGCTCCTCAAGAGGCTGGTTAATAAAGCAGAAGCTCCTCAGAAGGATGCTAGATGTTCCGACAGTATCCATGGTGCCCTGGATGAAGGTCAATTCAATGGCTAAGTGGAGTGGATGGATGAACTTAGTGCAATAAACCTCAATAATTGTAAAGCAATTAAGAAGAACCCTCAATTAGCAATGCTGTTAGTTTTTTTCTCCTGTTTGCAATTTACTTGCAGTAAAAAGAGGCAAAACCCAAGGGTTTTCCTGACATCAATGTCAGAGATTTACTCAAAAAATCTTTTCTAGGGTATGTCCTGGGACCAGTGCAGGTAGGCTGCTGTCTCACCTCCCAGCTGGGAGAGTTCAAGACTATATGGCTGCAGGAATGTTTAGGTAGGTCATCTTCAGTCACTTGCTTGACCCCTATTCAAAGGAGGTGTTTGTGTTTAGAGACATCCTTTTGGCATAGTGGAGAGCATGCTGGGGTTGATGTCAGAGAGACCTGAATGAGAATCCTGCTTCAGATACTCGTTAGCTGGGTAACTACACACACACACACACACACACACACACACACACACATATAATAGTATACAACATAATAGTATTATAATAATAATAATAGATATAATGTATTTATGCTTGTATATTTATATAAATACAAATGTATTTGTATAAATTAACATAAAACATGAATATAATATATAATTATATGTGATATATTATAAATATATGCCTTTATATATATATTATGTAATACTATATCATTAATTATCATGAGCATTTATATAGTACTTTAAAGTCTGCAAAGCACTTAATACACTCACCATTTATACCCCGAAATCCTCAGTGTTCTTGTCTGTACAAGCGAGGAGGTTGAACTCCATGGCATAGAAGAGCCCTGTCCACTCTAAATGGATGATCCCATGTGATAAGCTCCTGGTGTAGATGGATTTTCCCACTTTCACTCTTTTCACCATTCAGACAATCCTCTATGCAACTAGGACAGGGGTGACAGGGTCAACCCTCTGCTCAGGGCTTGTCATTTCTTCTAGGACAAGCCTCAGACTTCTCAGCCTACTCTAGAAGGTCCTTCAGGATCTACTTCTGGAATACTTTTCCTTTTTCAGTCTCCTGACTTTCCTGAACTCTACAGACGGTCAGGCCAGCCTGCTAGCTGCTGCTTCCCAGACTCAATCTTGCCTCTCCCATTTCAGCATTCACACATGCAACAAGTGGTCATTGGTCAATGAGCGCTTCCTGTGGACGAGGCCCTGGCGTTGCAAAGAAGGAGTAAAAACAAAGAACTTCCATTCTAGTGGCAGAGATAACATGTACCTAATTGGCAGAGATAGATATGCATAGACATGATGCATGTAGGTAGATAAGAGGTAACTTTAGAAGGGTGCAAGTAGGTGGCGCCATAGTGCATAGAGTACTGGGCCCGGAGTGAAGATCCACCTTCCATGAGTTCAAATCTGACCCCCGATACTTAGTAGCTGGGCAAGTCCCTTAACCCTGTTTGCCTCAGTTTCTCAACTATCAAGTGAGCTGGAGAAGGAGATGGCAAGCCATTGCAATATCTTTGCCAAGAAAACCCCAAATGGGGTTGAAATGACTGAACGCCAACCAAACCCGAAGGGAGGACACTCAATGCTTGGGGACCACGGTGACCAGCCTGGCCTCCTGAGCAAGCTGGTTTTTGAGCTGAGCTTTGGAGGAAACCAGGGCTTCTAAGAAGTAGAAGAGTTGGGGTGGGGGTGGGGGAGCAGGGAGAGCCTTCCAGGCACAAGGGATAGTCAGTGCAAAGACAGCGAGGCCGGATCTAGAGAGACATGTGTGAGAATTAGCCATTAGGCCGTTGTGTCTGTACTGTAGAGTGCACTGAAGTCAGTAGTGCATAAGAAAACTGATAATATGGGAAGACACCAGGTTGGGAAGGGCTTTAGAAGCTAAAGAGAAGAGTTTACATTGGTTCCTAGAGGCAACAGGAGTTTGTTGAGTAGGGTGGGAGGTGGTGACATGGTCAGTCCTACGTGTTAGGAAAGCCCCTTTGGCCCGTGTGTGGAGGATGGATTGGAATGGGGAGTCTTTGTTTAATGACCCCAACAGAGGGAATGAATTAACTTTCCAAGGCAGGTCATTCCGCTTTCAAAGAGCTCTGATTGTTAGGAGGTTTTACCTCATGTCAGCCTTTCATTTGGAGGAAAGATTTGTTTGGAGGTTAGGAGACATTGGTCACGTCTCAGTATACCGTAGCTCAGGATTTCCCTGATGGATTTTTCTCCCAGTGACATTTCATCTGTCACACTAATCCCTCTCCTTGCCTAGGGCTAAGGCCAGACTTCACTTTGACATCCCAAGAAGAGAACAAACAAATATTCCCCCTCACTAGGCAGAAATTTCTACTTTAACTTGATAAATTTACAACATAGCTGTCTTCCAGAGGTCCAGCAGGGATTCATCCCACATGTGACTGGTGACCAAGAATACTCTTTGTTCATGAAGCCATTGATTGCTTTTAAAAGAAATTTGAAAGACTTTAAAAGACCGATTGTCACTCTACCCAATTTCTTTTTGAAAACGATTTTGTAATTAATACAGTTCTTTGGGAAATTAGTTTATTATTCCAAAATGTGGTACTATTTACGAAGTCTCTTAATACAACAGTACTCATAGAAATGAATTTATTTTCTTTGTCTTTTTCTCCTAATACAAGGCATGTGTCCAAAGTACAAGTGGGGAGCTGGTGGTTCCCCCTTTGACACTTTTAAGTGATCCTTAAGAGCCTGAGACTATATAGTGGCTACAGTTCGTAGAAGCAACAGAAAAACATGGCCCAAGGTGAAAACATTCTGGGAAAATCAAAAAAGGAAAATACTGAAAAAACAGTGTTTCAAAACCTGGGGACTTGGGCCCTGCTGTTCAAGCAGCATGAAGATTTCAAACTGAGACTTTTTTCTTGGCCTGAATTATTCGGTTGTCTGCTTACACCTCAGTTTCCACTTGTGTAGAACATTTGATGAAACAAACACTTTCTTTTGATGTACAAGAAGAGAGAAATCAGTTATTATTATGATAAGCTGATATGTAGCACTCTATCATTTATTCATTTTTTACAGCATGTTATCTCCTTTGATCCTCATAGCAACCCTGTGAGATAAGGAAATTTAACTTCAGAGTGATTTAGTTATTTACCCAGGTTTACCAGGTGTGCGATCCCAGGCAAGTCACTTAACCACTTAACCTCAGTTTCCTCATCTGTAAAATGGGGACAATAATATCACTTACCTCCCAGGGTGGTTGTGGGGATAAAATGAGACAATGCTAGGAATGTGCTTTGTAAACCATAACATGCTGCATAAACACTATTATTATTACATTGATATTAAATGTCAGGCAAAGTTTGAACCTGAGTTTCTTCTGACTCCAAATCCATTATCCAGTGAAGCATCTTTTGCTTTTTACACTTTTAAATATTTGGGAGCAGGTGGGTATGATATTTAAAATAATATCTAATACATATCTGTGATTTAATAAAAGCCCATTCTTTGTTCTGGTTCAGATTTTCTAGTTTTAAAGTACAACATTTAATTCTCTTAATGTTTACTGATAGAGAAGCAGTGTGATGGAGGAAATGAGTCCCAAACTTGGAAGGAAGAGAAATTGAGACTCAAATCTTGCCTTTAACCCTTAATAGGTCCAATAAAATGTTTTTACTCTACAGACAACAGATTTAAAAATGACTCCCCTCTTGGTAACCACTTAGTTTTCTTACTGAGAGACTCTAACAAATTTAGTGTTATGGTGTTAATTCAGAGTTCCTCACCTCCAACACTTTCCATTCTTGTTCAAGAAATTATTTGATGTCTAGGCATTCAATATCTGTGTCATCTCTAAGGCTTTGCTGGCCCTCACTTTTTAGCCCTGAGCTATGGTTTCCAACATGGTGTTTTGGCTGTCCTCAACTATGACCACCTTTGCATTAAAGTTAGTGAGTATCAAAGGATCTGCTCATTGAATTGGGAGGGACTTCATTAGTTTTTTCAAGAAAAGGGATTCTTAGTACTCTGGGTTTAGGGACCCTTTTAGCAGTTTGATGAAGCCTAGGAACACCTCAGAACAGTGTTTTTAAACACATAAAATAATATACATAGGATTACAAATTAATCCAATTCTATTGAAATACAGTTATCAAAATGTTAAAAGAAAAAAGTACATGGTCCCCAGGTTAAAAATCCCTATTCTATAATATCTATACTACCTTCCTCATCCTCTGCACAGATGTTGACACATAAGTTGCATTCATTCATCCTCATGGTGCTGTTTTTGCAAATGCTTATCATGAGCCCTGTCATCATATGATCAAGAATCCCATGGAATGACACTTCTTGTGACATTGCATGCACCATTAAACTAACTATTCCCACACCTTTATTTACCTTCCCAAAGAGAATTTCTAAGCCATCCTCCCATTTAGCTACCATTTGTCATTTCAATGTTCATTTGTCTTCTGCTTTCATTTATAGTGAGATTGTCTAGATTAAATGATTCAGCTCTTCCTGTAGTATGTCTCTTTATGGGTCACTGGACAAGGAGTTCATTTAAAGTACCAGATGTTAAATTAATTTTAGGGATGTTCAGAAACCTGCCTGGTTCTTAACACATACTATGCCCTTCTCCGTAACTCTGATGCCATTACTACAGAAGAAGAAAGGAGTTGCGCAGACCCAGAAAAGCCATTTTGCATTTTCTTTTTTCAGTGATTTGCCAGAGCTAAGAATTCCTCACCATGTAACTAACTAGCCTACCAGTGGTAAGCCTCTCCTTGCTTGGCTAGGCATTCCCTCAGAAAATGGGTGTCTGCTAAATGGACCAGACTTTCTCATATTTCATAACTAGCCTTTATTGGCTCTATGATATCTCCATCAGCTGTGTTCATCCAGATAAAGCTACTATAATCTAATGAAGGTAGCCTTGCTTCTTAGAGCAAACTTGTAACCATTTAATTTTGGCCCACCCAGACCACTCCATTGTTACTGCCCACCTGCTTGGCCATCACTGAAAATACAAATTTATGAATGGGAATCAAGATAAGTCTGACCTCACATGCTTCTAACTGAAGTCATTCAGGGAAGCAGATTTTTAGGAGCATTCATGCCGAGCTGAGAGGAAATGAGCCAGAGAGCAGAGATTAAAAAGAAAACCATTATCTCTGTTATCATATATTTCAAGGAATTCTGTATCACTCAATTAATCAACAAGTATTTATTAAGTGCCAAATACGTATGAGTAACCATGCTAAGCACTAGAAATGCAAAGACAAAAAGGAAATAGTCTTTAAGGAGCCTATACTATATTCTATTGGAGGAAGAGAACTAATCAACCAGTCG